CGCATTTACGTTGTAGATGTCTATGGGCTCCAGTAACCACTTAACACCAGGTGGGCTATGAGCTCGTCCACTCATCTAAGCATTAAAAAAAAAAATCGTTAGAAGTAACTCAAGACATTGATTTTTTCGCCGGATTTTCTCAGTGGGTCGCGATTCCGATCCGGTGGTAGATTAAGCGAATCTTATTAGGGTTAGTGTTAGAAAGACCTTCCAGGTTGAACTCCAGGTGAGCTCACCATCCATATCCAAATTGCATCGGCCTTTTTTTCATTGCTTAGACGGGTGGACGAGCTCACAGACAACTGTATCAACAACGGTCCTAGAATAGCTTCTCCACATTACTTCCCGGTGGCTGTCGACAAAGATGAGGGATCAAAGTAATCGAATAACGCGATTAAATAGCTTAAATTTTACTATAAATTTCATTTTTGTGTTACTATAAATTTCACGAGGCTTGTGGAGAGTATTAAGCGGTAGGCAGCGGCTTGGCTCTGCCCCTGGCATTGCTGAAGTCCATGGGCGACGGTAACCACTCACCATCTGGTGGGCCGTATGCTCGTCTACAAATGCCTACAAAGGCAATAAAAAAAAAAAAAATTTTTAGGGGTTATTACATTAGTACTTCTTGGTAGGTTTGATGATAAAACACTTAAAACAGAAATTTAAAAACTTACATAAAATACTTATTTAACAAAAACCCATGCGTTAACTCTGTACCAGTAAAGCCAGTTTACAAAATAAGCTTTTAGGCACAATTTGCTATGTTGTTTCGTAGATACAATGTGAATGTGACACATCGACAAAATATTTCAATGTGTCACTAGTGGCTACTCATAACAACACCATATTATCTTAATGTCAGATCTGAGCAATTAACTACAACCAAATTAATTCTTATCGGAAACACAGTAATAGCTTATCGTTGCTGTCGGAATATCCAAAATGAACGCGAATGCTCATTAATTTGTGTTTAATTAAAATTCCGTTCGCAATATTGGTTAAAACAAAACAGTAAAAATTCAAATATTTTAAAAATGTTTTCGGATTTACCATTCTCATGGGTGCTTCGAAGGGAATGCTTTAATTAAATTAACTGTTGCTGATTTTGACGAGGGACAAAAATAAAATACTCGAAATATCCTGACATTAATGAAGATTTATAGTTTTTTTATAGATTCGAATAGGTATTATCTGTATTGGAGGTTTTCATGTTGAATGCTTGCTATGTAATTAAACCCTTTTATAGTAGGACAAAGCTACTTCCAGTTATATTGATAGCCCCTAATGAAGACATAATTACGGCAATGCCATATCAAATTGCTCGATTAACAAGACCTGAATATTTTTTTAAAACATCGCCTGGCTTTCCAGCAACATAGGCATGATTACCTTTTCCCAACTGCAATATTTACCTTTACGTTAGAAAACAATATATAGCTCATGGTTAGTGCAAGTGCTATTCTTTTTTTTTTTTTAATCAGCCATAACACAAATTATTATTAATTAAGACTAACAACATAGATGTAAATTCAATTGAAAGCAATCTAAGCTTGTTGTCATTGAACGAGGGAACCGGTGGTCGTGTCGCTGGCGGCCACCGGTCCGGCGTCCGTGGGACGGTGGGATGGATGTAATGTGCTCTGCGTCAACCCTGTCCCGCCGTTTCAATAGCCCCGACTGGGCTCCGGCCCGGTCCGAGGTAGGGCGCCGGTTGTGAGCGGCAGGAGTTTTTAGTGGGTTCAACTCCCACATATCCCACCTGCCGCGCGGGTGGGGATCCGGCGATTTTCTCCTGTGGAAAAAAAAAAAAAAANCGTCCGTGGGACGGTGGGATGGATGTAATGTGCTCTGCGTCAACCCTGTCCCGCCGTTTCAATAGCCCCGACTGGGCTCCGGCCCGGTCCGAGGTAGGGCGCCGGTTGTGAGCGGCAGGAGTTTTTAGTGGGTTCAACTCCCACATATCCCACCTGCCGCGCGGGTGGGGATCCGGCGATTTTCTCCTGTGGAAAAAAAAAAAAAAAAAAGCTTGTTGTCATTGTCATTTGTTTTCTTTTGCATATCATTTAACTCATATTATATTCAAACTTTTATTATTATTATTTTAATATAATTTATATTATCATAACTTATTATCATATAAATACCTATTAGATAATATATGTATTATATTATATTTTATGTGACTGACTATGTATATACATAATGCTCTGTAATATTATTACGAAATGAACCATTGGTATTGGTATGGTAATTCTTGTTTCGTTTTGATGACGATTAGATTTGTTGTATTGTTGTTAAATGAAAACTAAAGAATTAAAAACATAAAAAATAGGATTAAATCTTATATTTTTTCTAAATATCATCTTTATAGATATATAAATAAATAAATTAATAAATAAAAGCCTTTTATTTCACCCATAAACAACGTAACTATTACATTATACATAACTTGTTTTTTTTTTATTATTTAATTATTACTATTTTATTAATTTTTATTTAACTAACTTTAACTAAGTAGATTTGTTTTTAGTTAAGATTAGCGTGAACCCCTCTGTTTGAGGGTAAAGGCCTCCTCCAAAGATGCCCAATATTCTCTATCTGTGGCCTTTTCCATCCACAGTTTACCAGCCGTCCCTTCGATATCGTCAGCCCATCTGCTTCTAGGTCTTCCTCTTTTTCTGTTTCCTCTAGGGCCTGGCCATGACGTCAGCCGAGAGGTCCATCTATCGTCACTCATTCTTGCCACGTGGCCATTTTAATCTCACAGCATAGCTTAGTGCATCTATTACTTCTGTTGTTAATTTTTTGAATTTTTCTAATTTTCAGTAAATTTCTTTCCATGCTCCGTTGGCATGACGTTATTTTGTTTTTTAACAATATATATAATAGATATATATAATTTATTAATTACATATTTTATTTGTTTATTAGTATTTTTAATTTATAGACACACTTATATGATTTATCAAGCTTATGTAGTTGTTGTCTCGCATCGAAAAAATACACAAAGATTTAAGTACAAAATTGTACTGAATACGAACATGATATTTAGGAACCCCGTGACTTTTAATACTTCGATTTATTACTATATCATGGGGAGTATGTTAACATTTTACAATTATTATCTTCCTAACCTTAAAAAAGCTTATTAAAGTCACTTTAAATGCACAAAACGAGCTTTTAACTGTAATGCGAGAGGTACTTCGTGGGCGGGATTTCGTCTCAAAATTACCTCTTTGGTGGTCGCATTGAATGAGATTTAAAGACATAATTTGAGAACAACTTAGTACTGGTCAAGACAGGATCTCGTTAAAAGAGGAAATGTCACAAAGATAAAAGAATAACATTACTTATGTAATAAAACTTCGAATATTCTAATTCCAATCCAACAATATTAAAAGACCGAAATATAGATACATTTGTTTGTTTGTCCCTTTTTTAAGCAAGAACAGAGATATTTGTAGTTTATTTCGCTAGATTAGATGTTTCATAAATTGAATGGTTTACAGTTAATAATACTGTGCGTACTAAATTTACAAGAATCCTACATAAATGAAAGTTTTCCGCACATTTCGACTGGTATGATTTTTAATCAATAAATGTAACGCCAGCTCAAATTTATTTACATGAACAGTGGCTACTAAATAATAACAATGAAAGAAATGGTGAAAACTTTTTGTACGTAACGTTTTTTTTTTTTTATATGAAAGTAAAAATAAATAAAATACATAACATAAATAACTATTAACTTTAGGGCCGTAGAGAGAACGTTCGATGCATAAATGTGAATTTTTTTGAAAATAATGGTCGCGTCATATAAATTGACTTTAGCTTAAGTTCCAACCTTTCATAATAAACACCTGTTATTTTATTATGGACTTTATACTTTTCTGCCTAAGGTCCGTATCCCGGGCACACGGCTTGACATCACCTTGGCACGGCAGTTCCTCACGTAGTGGATCGACGCTCTCTGAATACAAAAGCCAAACACGACAACTCTTGATAAAAATATTAAAAGATTGTATATTTTTGTTTTGCAAAATGTTGTTTGATTTATGTCTGTTCTAATGACTTATTTTTTACTGCGACTATAAACAACCTCACGACCCACCTAGTGCTCAAGTTCACATCAATGCCGCAATGAATTATGATTAAAGTCTCAACTCCTTTAAGATATATAATTGTATGATATAGGATAATATTATTGCTTGTAGCTATGCTCTCTTTCTTCTGATTCGTAAGAAATGCATTTCGCACTTCAGTGGTGATGGCACTTAAGCCATCGCTGTCAATACGCAATAGCATGGCAGTAACCTAAAAAAGGAATGTAATACAAACTACTGCGCGATATTGACACCAAAATGTGGTAGAGCTATACCAATCAGGTGTAGCTATTATGATTTTACAGAATCAACATGCCCGCTTTGTCAATAGCTATAATGAATAGGTTGTTTCCAATTATTTTTTATAGTAAGGCGATATCTATCCCCGCGTTTTTAGGGCACAGATTAATTATTTATAAAATATTTTTTTCATAATTAAGCAGATATGAGTTTTCGTGATGGAAAAATAAGGTGAGTATAAATGTGGACATGCTTGAATTCTTTAACAAAAAAATCCAAACAATTCCTTAATTTAATTTAACGTGAATATTAAGCTAGTTTTTATGATAGCGGACCACATCTTAAAGTAGACAGTTTAGTTTACACTATTTAGCAGAGTTAGCCTGGCGGATGAGATAAACGTAACACGTTGGCGTGAATACAGGGTCGTTTGTTGGTTTTTACTCTCTTGCTTAGATGGACGACACAGAATAATACCGTAATAACATTCCATTTCTTTTAAAATAGCCGGCCCAACTAAAAAGAATATGCAATAATACACATAATGAAAATAGTAATGGTAATATCCATATTTTCGACAGTGGGCTAACTAATAGGGAAAATGAAGTTAATTAATTAGTGTTGATTTGGAGACTGTATAAAAGTAAATGACGGCTGTATTTGTCACATTGGGACCGGATTTCGGGAAAATGAATCGGTTTTGGTTGTTAATATTCGGCCTGCCCTTCGTGGCGGCAGCGACAATAGGTATGATTTTTCAAATACTATTTTTCTGTTACATTAGTAAAAAGATTCGTTATAACTTCAAAGGAAAAAGTACATAGTTCAATAAGTTTTTTTTCCTAAGCTATTAATTGTTTTGCTGTTTCTGTTATTTAAATTAATAAAAATAATTAGTCTTTAAAAACTTTATTGTTCATTATATACTGTAAATAGGAAGTGCGTAAAACACTAGAAATGATTGATACTTGATATTTTACCGTGGAAAATAGTGATCATAAATTAATAACCACTTGATATTTTATCGTGAAAAATAGTGATCATAAATTAATAAGCACTGCAAATCTACTATTAACATATAACTCCAATTGTTTATATTATATCCTTTTTTTTAATTTGATGGAAAATCGTTAAACATCATCCAAACTGAATTACAAAAGCCCTTTTAATCTATAATGTTATCTATAAAGATTTTTAATTCAAAGTGAATTATTTCAAGACGTTTTTTTATAGACTTGAAAGACGAACCTCTAGATTGGCCTGGAACATATCATTTCGAAGCCGTCAGGATGTCAATTAGTGCCGGCAACGTACAAGACTACTCGGTATGGTAAGGATTCCTTCGCTCAATAAGATCACATATCTCGAGGTGGGTAGGTTAGGTTTTTTATATGAATGGTCTATGACAATGGTTTAACTCACCTACCAATCTAAGAAAAAAAGACAAGAATTCTAAGCCTTAGTTTTAAAGTACAACGGCTGCCCCAAGCCAAAACTGCTTCAAGAATAGACAGGGTACTTACGCTGGATCACAAGACCCCCTAACAACAGTGCAGGCTTGTCTACCTACGAAGTTAATAAAATGTCGTGATCCAAATATCAATTTTACATTCAAGGAAAACAAATCATTCGTCACGCGTCGACTACAACAAAGGAGCCGTAAAAAGTATTATCGTAGATGAAAACGAAAAATACAGATACGGAGTTTCATATGAGGTACGCTAATATTCATCTACTTAGCTTTATGAAATCTACATTTGTAAAAACTACAATACGAAAGATTTGGAAAAATAATTTGAAGAACTGCTATTTATCCTTGAAATGTCGGTCGGCCCACATGCTGTCAGAATTCAGGCCACTTGGGTTTTTACCGCGTCCGAAAAATCCAGCAATATTTGTAATACAAACTAACCTTGTATGTTTTTTTTAATTGTATTGATACGTCGTTATATAATTGTTTTATGTAATTGATATAGTAATTAAAAATTTACTAACAGATCCACCCAGAAACTGACGATGGTGAAGATCCAATTTTCAAGTGTAATGTATTGCTTGGATCTGAAGATAATATGTTCGACTTAAAGGTTATCTTGCCAGAAACCGACAACTTTGAATACGTCGGTAAGTTTCGCTTTTTGCCTCTTTCCATATTGATTGGGGTAGGAGCCAATTACAATTACCGCGGAGACCGGTGTTGTTGGTCGCCGACGATTTCCTCGACGACCCAACGGTCGGGCATCCTAGGTGTGGCGCCGCGAGTCTGGTTGTGGTGTTGACCGCGCGAATCCCCCTACTCTGACTGTTTTCTGACCCCGGGTCGGAACGAATCGAATTGAATTGGAGGTCGGGGTGATAGTGCAAAGGGAGTAGTTTGGTGCGGTAGAGGTAGAGCCCTAAAAATATCCTTAAGCCCGCGATCTGTTCCCAACGTCTGCAGACCGTTAAGTCCCAAATACAAGAGTCGGCCCCTGCCTGAAAAAAAAGGAGCCCATTACATATATAAATATGCTATGTACTTTCATTGTTAGTCATTTTCTACAATAATATATATTTGACATTCTAAAAATGGTGCCCGCTTTAATCTTTAAAACTTTTAATTTAGTACGCATTTTTGTTTATGTCGAATCAACAATGGTAATTTTGTGTTAGCAAGAAAACATAGCATTCGTTATCTGTACTATCTCAAAGAAGCTATTAAATAACAGCGCAAAACTCAATACTTTTTCTTGAATATATTAACTAACTAATCGACAACAATTAATCTAAAGTCGTTTATTTAATGTTCATATTCCATCTGAACGCTACATTTCGTGTTTAAGTTTTAGTTCTCAATATAGTGCATTTACCACCACCTTGTGATGTCATTTTGTGATGGACATGTCTGATTTAACGAACTCTTGGCGTGATCTCTGATTCCGAGTTCATTCTGCGACTGTTGTCGATGTTTCTGTTATGAACTTTGTTACAGCACTACAGAAATATTGGAATAAATATTATAGTTTCTCTGTGTAGTCAAGTGAATTTTTTTGTGTGATGGTATAATTACTTAACCTACAACTTCTTAACAGGACCTGATTCACAAACCGTTGAAAACACTATCAAGTTCGTCGCTGAAGATAGCGATTTGGAGACTAAGACAATAAAGACTATTTGGGCTACCTACGACGAGAAAAACAATAACTGGCATCCAGTCAGGTATACTAGAATTTTTCTAAAATAACAAATAAAAACAAAATACGCTTTAATGTAGAAACGTTTAGAAGGATTCAATCAACCAAACAACTAAAATTGATTTCAATGTGTGGTTGATTGAATTTTTCATTTCATTTCAACTAATTTCAATGTAGCAAACACACATGTTTACTTCACGGTAGAATGAAGAAGGATGATGCTGTATACCACTCGTTAGTCCATTTACCCTAAGATTAAGGGACAAAAAATGTACAGAAAATAATCCATTCGTTGACTCTTTTATTTCATCACCTTGAGACTTCGACTTCAATATAAGTAGCAGTATTAAAGCTCTTATCCCGATCTAGTGCATACATCACACATCTCACTCATCTACTGCTATAATCAATTGACAACAGTATAAATAGACACGACAAAAAATCTAAAAATGAAATTATTTCTGTTATAAAAAGTATACAATTATCTAACGGACATCCTAGGGTCAAGATGACGACCTTGATCTTTTTAGATAAAAGCTAATGAAGATCTACCAAGTGTTAAATGATTTAACAACTTGGATATTATATTAATCATGTAAGGATGCAACAGTATCTACTCATTATCATAATTAAAATATAGCCAATCGAGCCATAACTTCTATAACAAACATTTATATCAGAATATAACGATATTCAAGGTCCGAAAATATTATGTATCTTCAAAACAATTCACTATTCTAAAAATAATGTCGTTGCAGATATGAAGTCAAAAACTACAATGAACTATTAGGACTTTTAGAGAAACACGAAATTTGGGATTACTTTAATTTCAACACCGGATTTGACAAATCAGCTTTCGACGTCAGCCAGTGTAAGTGTGCAATCAATGTATTATTAATGTACCACAAATCAACCAGAATTAGAAAACTCTGAGTTAGATGCGTGTATATGACACATAACAAAGTACAATTAAAGTACCGGATACCTGTAATATTGGACTATTTCTTAGTATGGTAGACACTTCAAACGAAGTTTGATTCAGAAGCTAATTTCACGGCATTGGAAATTTCTGGGAATTCTCGATAGAGCACGGAGCTATTTCCATCCAGCCAATAGGTTTACAAGGTCCGATCTCTATAGGAGTATGTGCTGCTCTCACAATATTTCTGGTTTGAAATTTGAGGCCTGGCCTAGTCAATTTAGGTTTAGCAAAACCAAAAACTCAGGATGGGCTAATTTTTAATGGCATTCTAGAAGTGAATCTTGATTTGTTTGCAATTCCAACATTTTCAGATGACTGCGACGACGAAAATGTTGAGGAGCATACATTACAGAGTGAAACTGTAACTAAATTTCTCATGTTCATGGATCCCGAAAATGATAAACATGTTAATCATGTATTTAACAGGTATATAAACATGTTAGATCAGAAAATAGTACATTATAATACTAACTGACTATTAATCAAAATATTATAATGAAAAAATTAGAATTCAGTAAATAAATTCTTCTTCAATCAGTATCCTTTCCTTTCAATCTAATTATTGGGTTATCAGGGTAATCAAGGATTTTTTTTTATTAAATATAGGAGTAGTCTATTAAAATATTTTTGATGATGTATCTACACATGCGGAACTTAAATTCGGTTTCGTTAGAAAATAATAGGCACATTATCTATGGAACCGCAGCTCATGATTGCCTAACGCAAAATTATACAGTTTAAAACAGTTTATATACAGTTAAAAACAGTTATCGGATTTTTTTTAACATAGTTAATTACAAAACTGCGAACTAAAATCATGTATGCAATATGTAACTGGATATGTTTCATCAAATTTGCACCTTAATTGTTTTAGTTTCAAAAACAAATTCGTCAGAAACTACGTTGATAACAATGAACACGAAACTAGAAGAAACATTTTCAGGAAGAACATGAGGTGATCCTATAACTATATTTAAAAAAAATTTGCAATTTTCCTAATAATTTCATAATTCAACATATTTTTTTCAATAATGTAACACAGATTAATCACGGAAACAAACCGTCAAAAACTCGGTTACACACTAGGGGTCACTCAGTTTGCGGACCGCACTCCCGAAGAAATGCAAAGACACAAGGGCCTGCGTACACGTCCCGAGGGAAAGGTCGGAAATATTCCCTTCCCATATCCTGAACACAAAATACGGGATATGGCCGAAGACCTTCCCTCAGAATACGATTTGAGAATCTTGGGCTACGTTTCTAAAGTCAAAAGTAAGTTAAATCAACTTATAAGGTACATTTAAAAGGAGATTATGGTTTCTGACTCATATTGATATTTGCCTATGAAAGATCAAGAAGATTGTGGATCCTGCTGGACATTCGGTACCACTGCAGCTGCTGAAGGAGCCCTTGCTCGAATCAACGGAGGAAGACTGTTGAGTCTATCTAACCAAGCAATCCTGGACTGCGCCTGGCCGTAAGATCTCTAATAATAATTAAAACACCAAGCTAATTAAATAATTAAATCGCCGTCGAAGCACATGTAATATGTTACATATTATCTTTTCAACAAGATCCCACAAAACGTTCAACTACTACCTGTTCATAGATTTAAGAAAACTGTCAAGGAACGTTTGTGCAACAAGGCATATTATGAAGTTAAGGATTTTTTACTAGATGGCACTACGTGGGAATGAGGCGATCGCTCCTGGCCTTTTCATTTTTCATTATTATTTTTATTTATTTGAATTGTATTTTTTTGACTTGTTTTTTCGTATAATGTAAATATGTTTTCTTATTTAAAAAAAAAAAGAAAATATTTGATAAAATCCAAAACAAAAAAAGCCCGCCTAGTTTGTTTCGCCGTTTCTTCTCAGGACTGTGGCTTTTTTTGGAGCCGGTGGTAGAGTTAACATTTTCTTTTACATTTTGACATTCAACAAGTGTGTTTTTGATGACCTCCAAGTTGAAATAAATGATTTTGAATTTGAATTTGAATTTGAACAGTATTCTCGCAATGAAATTTCACACAATAAAAAAAAATGCAGCGCGTGCAACTTGATGCACGTGAAAGAAGTGAAACTTTGATATTGTAGTTTTGTTCATTTTTCATCCTTAATTCAATTTGTCTTGTAAGAGGGAACGCTGTGTATAACAGAAAAGACATAGCTCGCTTTGTCCTTTTCCTCTCTCCACTGAGTCGAGTGGTTCGCGAGATGCTCTGTCTATTTCGTCACTCTAGCTGTTCCTATATTGTATCTTTTCTTTCTAGCCGTAACGAATCTGTAGCGAGTTTTTTACTCTCAACGCGCCTATAGAAGTTTCACTTCAAAAATGTGTTCAGCAAACAAAATTAAATCCAAAGATTATCCTGTATAAACTAAAGCAGAATAAACCTAAAAGCTTCTTGCCCTGTATGCACCTTATGCATTGCTTTCACAGTTACGGCGGCAGTGGGTGCGAGGGTGGATCCGACAATGCAGCGTATGATTGGATGATGAAATTCGGTTTACCAACCGAAGAAGAATATGGATCTTACACAAATGCGGTAAAAGTGCAATTATAACACACAGACTGAGAACAAAGAACCTTAATTAATTAAGTAAAATATAATTAAAGAATTTAGATTAGAATTAGAAGTTAGAGGGTATATATTTAAATGTAGTTTAGCAGTTTATTTTCTATGACGTTTTACATGACTACCTGGTAGCCTGAATGGCTATTCTAGCTACACTGTGACAGATAGAAGAGCAGACGGAACTGAACCTGAGAGAATATACTAACAATGGCCCTAGCAAGAGCAGAGCTTTGCACAATCTACCAACGAATCGGAATCGCGACACTCTGAGAAGTTCCAGCGAAACACACAATGGGCTGACTCACTCAATAGGCTCAAATGAGCTAGTTCAACCAAAAGGCCAAGAGAACTCTTGGTCGTAATCGTCGATTATGACCAAAGAGTTCTACAAGCGAACAAAGCTAAACGTTTCACATCCAAACTAGAATATTCTCCTGTGCTATCCTGTGTGCTGCTGACTCTGACACGAGACACGCGTATCTTCAACCAAAAACAACCCAAACCGGAAATCGAACTCGACTCTTTTATAAAGTACTCGCTGACCACTTTATCAACCAAGCGATCAAAGATCTATCCCATTTAACTTGTCGCAAAATATTACCTAGTATCTATACTTAATATTATAAAGCTGAAGAGTTTGTTTTAACGCGCTAAACTCAGGAACTACTAGTCCGATTTGAAAAATTCTTTCAGTGTTAGATAGCCCATTTATTAAGGCTTATTGAGGAAGTCTATATAAGATCACGGTAAGCCCAATACAAGTGGAGCACCGATAAAGAATGTTTCAAATGTATTTTCACTTTCTACGTAAATGAAGTGGGGGGTAAAATTTAGCGTTATGCCAAAGTAACTATTTCACGGACAGAGTCGCGGGCAAAAGCTAGTTACTTATATTTGAGAATATGTTTAATCGTTAAAATTACATTACAGGACGGTATCTGCAATATTAAAAATATGAGCACCATTTACCCGATTCGCGGTTGGACTGACGTCACGCCACTTAACGTTGAGGCTTTGAAGGTAAGGACTTCATTATCTTTGTAAATCATTTATTGAATTCATGAAACGTCTGTCTTAGAAACGCTTGTTTTAATGGCTACGTATTCATATCGATGTTTTTTTTATTTTTTTTATTGCTTAGATGGGTGGACCAGTTCACAGCCCACATGATGTTAAGTGATTACTGGAGCCCATAGACATGTATAACGTAAGTGCGCCACCCACCTTGAGATATAAGTTCTAAGGTCTCAAGTTACAACGGCTGCCCCACCCTTCAAACCGAAACGCAATACTACTTCACGGCAGAAATAGGCAGGGTGGTGGTTCCAACCACCAGTAAATGTGTATGTGTGATGCGACTACATATTTTAAAATAAATACATATTAACGTGTATCCGCAAACTATTTTCACGATGAGTCAATAACGTCGTGTATAGATAACGTCCTGCTGTGTATTGCTGTACCGAAACAAACATCGAGTTGTTTTTTGAAGAGTGGAAAATGTCTGACCCTTAAAACCGATGGGTCAATAATTTTAGTCGAAGTTTCTTCTGTACCATTTAATACCAGGTGAGCTGTAAGCTCGTCTCCGATATACACCATTAATAAAATACTAGTTTAATTAGTTAATGACCCATTGACCCAAGCTCACGATAGTATCGCAGCAATTGCAAATTTACTCTACTCATATAACTTGGTTATAAGTTTACTGGATATTTTTTTGTTAATTTACAGGTAGCTGCCGTGAACCATGGTCCGCTTTCAGTATCGATTGATGCTACTGATAAATTTTCGCTCTACACCGGTGGCATATTCTATGACACCACCTGGTAAGTGATATTTTACGCTCCACATTTTTAATAACCCGTCTTTTTTTATTTTTTTTTATTGCTTAGATGGTGGACGACCTCACACCTGCTATTAAGTGATTACTGGAGCCCATAGACATCTACAACCCAAATGCGCCACCCACCTTGAGGTATAAGTTCTAAGGTGTCAAGTATAGTTACAACTGCCCTCTACAACAAGCTGCCCCACCCTTCAAACCGAAACACATTACTGCTTCGCGTCATGAATAAGCAGTAATTACGTAAATTATAGTTTTGCGGGTTTGATTTTTATTACACGATGTTATTTCTTCACCGTGGAAGTCAATCGTAAACATTTGTTAAGTTCGTATTTCATTAGAAAAATTTGGTACGCGCCTGCGGGATTCGAACACTGTTGCATCGCTAGATACGAAATGCACCGGACGTCTTATCCTTTAGGCCACGACGCCGTCACTTAGTATATCGTCTTTATACGTCTTTTAGTATATCTGCCCGGGCGGTGTTTTATTACTAATTTTACACGAATTTCCTTATTGGCCATAGAAAATTGAAATTCTGAAATTTTATATCTCTGAATCAGACAGTGCAAGAAAATACGAAAAAAATACGAGAAAACAAATGTTTGATACTTTTAATTCGTTAATTTTACCATTATCTTATTATTATCCTTAAAATATAGTAGAGCATTAAATAAAAGCATATGGAAAATTTGCCCTATATCCAATAATAATGCAAAAAATGCTAGTAAGTGGTTAGAAAATTTTCATTTTCACTTTACATATGACCGCGATGATGATGACGCCTCGCGATGTATCAGGGCAGATGTTGCATAGCCGAGTGTGAATCTGGTCTAACCGGTGCTTTGTACACATTGCGCTCGGCCTCTTCCTTTCTAAATATCCGGTGACGATCAGATCTTGAAGATTGTCGCCGGACTTAACGAGCTACGTGACCAAAGAAATCAAATATTCTTCACATGCACGATCATATTTGTACATTCCAATTCGCCAACGAACTCTGTCCTCACAACAAACACCGCTGCTAGTGCTATTCTTTTTTTGTTTCTACCTATGCTGATAGCCTTGAGAGGCTATTTCAGTTTCGTCCTAACAGATGTCCGAACAGATGTTCATGATTGACTTCCACGGTGAAGGAATAACATTGTGTAATAAAAATCAAACCCGCTAAATTATAATCTGCGTAATTACTGGTGGTATAACCTCTTGTGAGTCCGCACGGTTAGGTACCACCGCCCTGCCTATTTCTGCCTTAGAAACCTTTTGAACTTATGTCTCAAAGTGGGTGGTGCATTTACGTTGGAGATATCTATGGGCTCCAGTAACCACTTAACACCAGGTGGGCTGTGAGCTCGACCACCAATCTAAGCAATTAAAAATAAAATATTTGTACATTCCTATTTGCCAACGAACTTTGTCCACACAACAAAAACCGCTGCTACTGCTACAATAACCACAGCGACCATTTATCATAACAGCACAACTAAACGCCTGAACCATGAGATGGCGTTAGTCGGCTACGGCGAACGCGACGGCGACACCTACTGGATCATCAAAAACTCCTGGGGCCCCGACTGGGGAGTCGAAGGATACTTGCTGATTTCATCCCGTAACAACAACTGCGGTATCGCAACAGAACCAACTTACGTAGTCTACTAAAACAATCAGAGAGTTTATCGGATTAAACAAATTGAAAGAGCATGAAACATGGATTCGATTGAGTTCAATTATATAGTGTGAAATGAATTATAAATATATATTGCAGCATTTTTTTTTTGTTTCTTTTTAAACACCTCATTGTTAACACCAATACTCAAAACATAGTATGCATTCTTACCCCAAGCAATAGTTATGATGCGTGCCTGTCACGGGTCTGATAAAGGTAAATATGTGTTCACGAAAACTCCTAATTGGGCAACTCGCAATATTTTGTACCTATAATCAATATTTCCCATACGTATTGAAGACAGAATACTATTGTGTTAATCAGTTTCAAATTTTATTCATTTTGGTGTGACTTGTTGAAGATCATTACCATGGCAGCATTTTAAGTTGGTTACGGCAAAGGTTCATTCTGTTAAGAGTCATCGTCGAGACAGCAACCTGTCTACTTACTGTTACTAAAAAAATTGTAGTGATACAATAATTTGACGAATCCGAAAATGCCCTTCAATCCCACCATTTTCTTATTAGGAGACCATGATTGTTCAATATTCTAAGCTAATTGGGAATAAGATTAGAGAATAGTTTACTAGATGTTTAACTCACTGAGTTCACATAGCCCACTGAGTTTTTTGCCGGATCTTCTCAGTGGGTTGCGATTCACATCTGGTGGTAGATTCAGCGAAGCACTACACTTGCTACGGCTATTGTTAGCCTATGCACCAGGCTGAGCCTCATTAGCTCACCTATACGCTCGGTGAAGCTACTATAACCTCTTGAGGCTACTTGCATAGGTAGCCAAAAAATAATTAGATTTATGAGTATATTATATAGTAAATATATAGCATTTGATATTCAAATATAAAAAAAATCCCTTATTTTTAAATAACTGGATCACTTTTCGTGATCGTAAATTCTTTCGTTTACAATGTATTGTTTGTGTGTTTTACAGCTGGTATATTGATAGCTTTTAATACTTAAGTAGTAAGTGTCATTATCCTTTCTCTGGCTCTGGGAATCGATAACCCTTTCGATATGACACATTGAAATGTCCGTGGCCTAAATAGATGAGGCGCCCGATTTACTCGTATCCTTAAGCACATGTCGTGGATCGACCCGCGAACAGATTTCATTTAAGAAAAAGGTACGTACCGGCTTGTCTTCACGGATGACCTCCGCGACGAAGAAATAACAATGTATATTACTAACGCTGTTTCGATTTAATGCTCTTTTATTCAAATTTTGGCATTCCCCGAAATTGTGTGCAGCGTTAGCCTTCTTGATATCCGAAGTGGTTTCTTCTTTCCTGCGATGTTATAACCACAAATATTATGATTTTTAGTTTTTATCATGAGTGACAACAAAAACACGAATATAAAGTTACAAGAAAAAGCATTTCACCAGAAACTAAAATGCAAGTGATTAGAATAAATATTGCTAATTGTCAATCCCAAATTGGCGCTGCATTGCTACGTTTTGCATTTAGCCACGTCAACATTATTCTCAACGCAGAAAATTACAAGAAAATTTTTCAGAAGAGACTAAATAATCTAAAATGTAAGCATACTGACTCAGATTATTTTTTATATTTATTTTTATATTCGTTTATTATATTTCTATATTTGTAAGAAATAAATGTTTATTTTATTGTTAGAAAAAGCATACTTAATAATTTTAATGGTAAATTTCCTAATAATTTTATTTTAACCCATCTTCCTCTAACCTCATTATTTATATGATGAGATAACCACGTTTAACGCTGTTTCATATTGCGCTCGACTCTGATGGAGCGTATGGTCACAGGTCGGCACTACCCCATGACTCCAATATATGTTACAAAGTGAATATTTGAATGTTTATGATCGACAAAGTGAAACGTATCAGAACAAAGAATAAAGATGGTGAAAGTAAGATATTAAGCCTGTACCAACTTTCAGATCACTCAGATAAAAGAGCAATTAACTACATTAGCAACACAACTCGACTACCGATCACTATCTGCGAATCCTATTCACGCAACTTGTTTTGTTTGTGCATGTACAGTTTTTGTAGCTGTATCATAGGTAGTAAGTATGTATATCTATACTAATATTATAAAGAGGAAAGATTTGTTTGTTTGTTTGTTTCGAATAGGCTCCGAAACTACTGGACCGATTTGAAAAATTCTTTTTCCATTAGAAGCCGACATTGTCCCTGATGAACATAGGCTACTTTTGTTATTCTTTTTTTATTTTGATTTTTTTGTTTCATGTATGTTTTAATGTTTCCGAAGCGAAGCGAGGGCGGGTCGCTAGTTGAAGATAATTTAGAATGATATTAGTAAAGTACTCCTGAATTAGAAACTTTTTTTCCTACCTAAGCTAAGCCTGAGCAGAATCTACCATCGGATCGGAAACGCGATCCACTGAGAAGATCCGGCGTGAAACTCAGTGGGCTGTGTCTGTGGGTTAATTTACTCGTCGAGCCCTTCGTCGCAAGCGACGGGTTCGACGAGGTGACCGGTGCTTGAGGTACCTAAAAGCACCGTTAATGGTTCGGGAGGATCCGTAATGACGTGTTTTGGGCGAATTACTCGTAGAAACATAACCCAGAGACGTTTATATATCTTGCTAGCTATTGGTGAGCCGTGTTTTCTAGCTCAAAATGAATATAATAATATTAACATCATAATAATGTTTTCTTAAGTATCACAAAAAGGAGCTTAATTCAAATATTGAGTTAATAATAATCAGTCCGACTATTTTAAAAGTACAGGAATGCAAACTTATCAACTCAGGCCAGTACTTCTATTTCTCATATATTCATTCATAATTACCATAATATTGTATTGTATTGTATGTAATTTATTTATTCATAAAAAGTTACACTTTCATTTAAACCATGCCCCGCAAAACTGCTCACGTAGTTTGACTGCAGGTAATATAGGTACATACCCGATCTTGTAGACCGAATGGCAAACAGTAGATTCTGCGAAGCACTGCTCTTGCTAGGGTCAGTGTTAGCAAATTTTCTCAGGTTAAGCCCCTTAGGCTACCAGCAAATAGATAGGGGAAAAAAACAATTTACAAATGCACTACTAAAATCAAATGACAAAAAAACTTTTTTTAGAAAATTCAATTAAAATATATATACAAGCACATAATTATTGTATCTTCGTAGGCATTAATAGTTGAACATATCCATTATTACAGTTCGTAGAATAAAGCCGCGAGCGAATCGCATCTCCTATATTTAAAACATTTGAGCATTCAAATTTAATTAAACCCTCAGGCGCAATAAGTTTCAAACCTTATGACACTCGGTATTCGAGACGTGATGTTATTAAACGACCGTTTAAATAATTTGTACGTCTGTGTAGCGTTCTATAATTTGATTCGAATGTAATTGAAGTCATCGGGCTTAAACTCGACGCGTTCGTAGTCCAACAATGACATATAACGGCCGTCTGGTGTAGTGGTAAGTGACATGGTCACTACACAAGGGGGCCGCGGGTTCGAATCCCGCCAAGGGAAGATATTTGTATGATAAATATAAATGTCTTTTCCAGGGTTATGGATGTATATTAAATATATGTATGTGTATAATAAAAATCTTACATTTATTTCCGTTATGTGGTACCTGTAACACAAGTTCATTACGAACTTATCACGGGACCAGTTAACGTGGCGTGATTGTTAGTAAAAATTTATTTATTTATTTATTTATTTATTATATTGTTATCAAATATGGCCTCAGTTTTTAAGTTCGGTGTGCACTGATGACTTCTCTTTTTCTAAAGTGCACCAGACAGTTGACTGTCGGTACTTGAACCATTGTACCATGGTTCACTTGCGGACTAAACAATAATAATAATAATAATAATAATAATAATGGTTGGTTCGAAGTAGGTATCAGTGGTATGGAATATTTGAAAGGTATTCCACTGATAACTACTTTTAATAAATGTATATTTTTTATTTGATTGGCTTTGTTAATTTTAAGTATGTTTCAATGATACTATGCACACATATGGACTTATTGTTGTCTGAAATAAAATAAATCATTCATCATTCATTCATTCATTCATTAGAGCGTAAAGTGAGAACATACAATTATGATTATGGTGTCTTGTCGAAGTCTTGTAGTCGAAGTAAAAATTACGATGATCATTAATTAACCCTATTTCCTTTCGTTTAACGCAAACTTAGTCTAAACGACAACTGTTTCCGAGGCGAGCACTAGCTTTGCCACTAAAATTTAGCATTGAAGGTTCAAGTCCAGTCAGTTCTTATTAATTGAAAATTATATTTGAGCAAAACAGCTCAATTTGAATGACAGATTCCATATTCAAATGTTATACCTAGTTATTTATTTTTTATAACAGTACTTATGATCAGACTTTCTGACAAATGTATAGTTATAGATGTACGACCATATCACATAATAGAATAGGAATATCTATACATATAAATAAAATTTGAGTGTCTGTTTGTAATATTGAAATAGCCTCTTTTTACTAAATTCATATGAATATATACGGTACATACACCAAAATAACATTTTTTACAATTTTTGTCTGTCTGTCTGTTTGTTCCGGCTAACCTCTGGAACGGCTGGACCGATTTTGACGGGACTTTCAATGAATGATAGGTAGCTGATGATATAAGGAGTAGCTTAAGCTATTTTTTTTAGACTAGCTTCGCCCCTCAGCTTCACCCGCGGTACGACAATAACAGCGGGTAACATCGCGGGACTCAGCTATCAATAATAAAATTTAATGCTTCCAAAGCGAAGCGAGGGCGGGTCGCTAGTCATACATAGAAATGAGAATTTATATAAATGTACACTTATTTAAATCAGGTTTCAATCGATCGAAAACTAGCTTTTAACACGTTAACACGTTTACATGTTTAAATTATAACATTAAATTACATAACACGTCTAAACGTTAACACGTTTAGAACACATTTGTGCACATACATAGGTGTTTATTATAATGGTTTTTGTCTTAAATCGTAAGAAGGTTTAAAACTTTGATATTCAAAATAGACTACCTATATAAGCATGTCAAGAGACTGTTTCCGATGCCGTATGGGTTAGAAACTGCTAATGTATTATA